AACGTTCTCTTTTTCTCATTTCGCTCTTTCCTCCGAGGAGCTCGTCTTTTTCATGGCTGCATTTATCTCCTCTCTGATATCAACTCTTCACTCCACAGTGTCCATGCTGCCTTCTCATCAACACTCCACTTTCCTATTCCTGGCTTCCAGTCTGTTCCTTCCCTAGGCATGACCTTCCCTTTATTTGGAGAGTTTTATGAAGTTATTTGAAGCTTTCTCTGACAATTTCAGTTATTATTGATCTATATCCCCTTTTTCTGAATTTCTGTGGCAAATCATAGTCTGAGCTACATTATTTAGTACCTCAGTACATAGTCTTTAATTGATGTTCTAATTGTTTCAACTATGATTTGGTTTTCACAACTGACTTACAACCTTCTTGAGGGTAGGGCCCATAGGCATATAGATGACACTCAGTAAATGCTTATGGATTGATAGCAATTATATCTCCTTTTACATAGAGAGCTGAAGCCAGTGTTTATGTTGGAGAATTTGGAATTGAGACGTTTTATTGGTAGCCGTTTGTGTGTAAATAATGAAGCAGGCATAAATGGTTACGTAAAGCAGGTCTAGCAGGACTTCTGACAAAAATCTTATAACCGATACTTGAAGAATTACATTGTTCAGAAGATACTTTGGGAATTCATGAACTTTACAAAAATAGCTGATTTATTATTCTGTAGGTGAGCAGTATTAACAAAATTCTGAGTATTAAAATACTAGATATTGGTCTGGTATTTATATTTTTTAGTATTTGTGTATTTGTATGTGACTGTTACCGACAAACACTTAAAAATAAAATTTCTCATGGAAAATGATACAGAGTTTTACATTCAGGTCCAAAGAAGTCTTCAAGGTACAAATCTTACAAGCACACATGTTAATCTAGAATCAGCCTCTTCTCTTCTCCTTGAAGTTCCTATGATGAGTAGTTTTAAATTTCTTTACAGATGTTTCTGTACTTTGAAGATCATGGACTAGTGACATGCTCTGCTGATCATCTCATTATTTTGTGGAAAAATGGAGAACGAGAATCTGGATTGCGCAGCTTAAAATTATTTCAAAAATTAGAGGAGAATGGTGACTTATATCTTACTGTCTAGTTTAAGGAACTCGGAATACATGTGCATGAACCCTGAAGATCAAATATAGGGTAATACTCTTAAAACTATTAACATATTGGTCACTTAAATTTGTAATGTATTTTTTTTCTTGTCACTCCATAAAATTTGATTGTTTGAATTTTTTGTGGGCTTGCAAACCAGCAACAAGTTGCTTCTCGGGTATTAGCACATCCACCAAAGAATATACCACAAGTTTTTCATTTGACTTTTCACACAGCAGTAACCTGAAACCACTGAGGAAATGGGTCTAATTTCAGCAGTGAATTTTCAGAAAGTGAAGTTTTCAGATCATAGCACAAATATCTGTTGATACAGACTTAAATTATACCATCACGTCCTTACAATTTATTAAAAATTCCACACCAGAAATTGTATGAACTTATGTTTAATGAGAGGAATAGTACTCAGAATCTCTCACTTTATTTAGTATAGTTTTGTTGCCTCTAATTAAATTCTTATTCATCACCAGAAATTAGATTTTTTAAAAGTTACATGTAGTTTCGTTCATTTAGCCTTTTTGGATTTTGAAATACCTGACTTTGTTCTCCAAAATGAATATTTTAACTGTAGCTCTTCATTCTTTTAAAAATTTATTTAAGGAATCTGCTTTTAAGGAAATAAATATGCATGATAATTATAGAGGATATTTTGAGAGAAAAATGAAGAACAGGCAGGATGTTGTAGCATATCTTGAATTTAAACCTTGAGATCTCCAGAAAACTGACCCTTGCCTGCAGGAAATGAAGAGTGTGTAATAATTGCGCTCTGTGCTCCTGTTGGAGCAGGGAGTGCCATGTTTTGAGCTTCTGAATTTGACCCTAGACCCTGTGAGGAGACAGAACTAGAGATAACAGTAAAGTTGTGGCATTCATTAGAAGTTTTTCTATTTTTGGTTTTCTTTAGCGCCCCTTTGATTAAGAATTCTTGTGATAAACTAAAATATATCCTTTCTCTTACAAATCCCCCTGGTCTTTAGTAACTAATTATCAAGGTTCTGTAAAGCAAACTCGAATCTCTCCCTGTTCAACTACAACTTTTTTTTGGTGCCAGCTACAGTCATGTACCACATAAGGACGTTTCGGTCAACGATGGACTGCACCTATGATGGTGGTCCCGTAAGATTAGTACCATAGAGCCTAGGTGTGTAGTAGCTATACCATCTAGGTTTGCGTAAGTACACGCTATGATGTTGGTACATCGCCTAACGATATGTTTCTCAGAACTCACCCCATCGTTAAGTGACACATGACTGTAATATAAGTCATTTTTTATTTTTAGTGCTAGCTGCTAAAATCCCTATAAACTCAAATCAGTAGGAATCCTGTGAGGTTGTATTTCTTTTCCCAGCGTGCATTGGCCTGAACAGCTATTGGCTACATGGGTACTAGACTAGCAGCTGCCCCTCCTGTATGCCAGGGATGAGAGCTGGATAAGGAGTTACAGAGACTGCGCCCACAAGTTCCTAATTCATCTTAGCATTGACTCAAATACGAAATGCTTCAGAAAGCCTTCATTAGGTAGTTTCTTGCAGTGACCACTGAAATTTAATCATCTTCATCACCTCACCAGCCTTCTAACAGAGCACTCTTTCATTTTTATTCTTTAGTACCAAAGGGAGAAAAAGCATTGCACACGTTAAAAAATGGGTGGGTTTAATTGTGGAATTATTCTGAAATTTAAACTGCTGATGAAAGAATCTTTCACTCAAGAATCAGTAAGTGCCAGGTGACTGATGTGTCAGAGACTGGTCCTTCTCAAAGAACACTTTCTGCAGATTTGTTTGTTCACCACACACACCCTTCATGGAATCTTTATCATTTGTTGTTTTGACTAGTTTTACCTTTGATAGTTGCTTCCACAACTACCTACAAAGACTGGAAGAACTAAGGTCATCTATGCCAGACCAACGCCATAATGTTATAAACGAGGAAACGAGACCCAGTCTGGTAAGGCCTTGCAGTTAGTTAGCTCTCTTCTCATTCGCATCATTGAGCAGCTTTAAAAACAGAAACCAGAGAGGACTGGATCAAGAGAGGCGGCTTATATGACTACCACCCGAGGAAAAACCAGATAATGCTCACAGTCATTATTTCTGTTTTAATTCACCATGAAAATAATAGCTTTATGGAGAAATAGATTAAAATTTATGTTACCGCGATTAAAGAATAGAAGAATATGAAGAGGAAAATCAGCACTGCCTTTTAGCCAACAAATTGTTGTTTGTTTTCCTGGCATATTTGAGGAGCCCCACAGAGGCAGCTTTCTAATCTTTCTTCCTGACCTTGGAGCACGGGGAGCATCCCTAAACCAGGCAGAGTGCTTTCTGATCTGAGAGCATCAGATTGTTGATCACTTCTGTTAAGTGTCTCAGAGGCATTTTCAGGTTTTAATTTTCCCCTATGGATGGACTTTCCCCCATTACTAGCTAGCTTTTCTTTGGAAATTCTATATTAGGTCATGAGTTTGTCAAGTTGTTTTCTTGAATTGCATGAGACATATTCAATGAATTATATAAGGAATTCATAGATTTTTAACTGTTTTAGTTCCAGATCTCTTCTGGGTATTTTGTGATAGTAATCTATTTCCATGGAGTGATACAAACCACAGGTGAGTTTTGGGAGCAAATGTTACTCTCAGTACCACTGTCAATCCCTCTGGTATTGCACTTTAGTTGGTTCTCCTCCCTGAGAAACTAACTCTCCAAACCATTCACTGGACTTGGTGGTTTTTGCTTTCATGAATGCCCTAAGGTCAGAGAGATGGAGAAAAACAGCAAGATAGGAGATTTTAGTAGGGGCTCAGACTTGATGGCTGCTCAGTTCTTGTATGTAAAACTTTCAATTTAGAAGAATTGTAATTGAGATCAACATATATTATGTGCATTTTTTCCATTTCCCTAGCTTGGCTTTCAATGCTGTTATATTTGCAACACCAGAAGTAACACTGTGTAGTGTGCCTTGTCATTTTTATTTAAAAGTACCCTCATTACCTCCTTCTCCAGCTGTATTCACATAACACAATCAAGAACCTAAACTTCAAGGGCATTCTGTCATCCCTTCCTTTCGTCTGTCTCAAGTTGAGTGGTTCTGGTTGAACTGATGCGGCTTGTTGGCCCATAAGACTAACCAGTCCTGACTCTGAAGGCAAGTAAATTTTAAAATCTTAAATTGCAAGTAAAGAATGACTTAGTTAAATTATAGGGTCATTCTAGTCCAGGTAACAATGTTTTATAACTAACTTCTTCTGGTTAAGTAGTAGTAACAATGTGACTTCTCTCTGTATTAGACAGTATTGCATTTTCCTAAACTAATATGGCTCCCCTCAACACAGAATGTTTTAGTAAACAACTCGGTAAAAGAGGCAATTATAATAATTTATACCCATCTGATACACATACCATCTGACAGACTATGTTTCTAATAAATTGACTGGTTGGAGGAATGCACTATTTAGTTAGCAGTTCAGTAGAAGATTCCACCATAGTAGGTTACACTGATCAAGAGCAGAGCTGTGCTAAAGCTCTAGCACGTGGCAGTCTTAAAGCATTTAACATTTTAGTTAATATGAAATCAGTTTGACATTACACTCAGTAAGCTGTAACGTTCATATAGAAAATGTCAGACATCTCATAAATGTTACTTACCAAATGGAACTGAAGGCGAGACGGTCAGGAAAAGCCTGTCCTTGCCTCAAGCAAGCTTCTGAAGCTTAGGCAAATTATTTAGCTCCTTAAAATGGTATTCTGACATCCTGAATTTAATGTGTCCTGAAAACAAAGTGTGTGACTCACGAAATAAAGGACACTAAACCGAAATTTTGAAATTATGAAAAATTTAGGCCAAAGAGGTAAAATAAAAACAGCTGTTGGGAATGAAAAATGGCTGTAGGAATTTAGTTACAAGTACTTCACAAAAACATTTTCATCACATTTACATAATGCAGCATTACAATACAAAGCTAGCTGCTGACCTGAGCAAGCAAGTTCTCTTAGCATCTAACAAAAATAATTTAGATACATTTCTTTGCATGGAATTAGCATATATGTTTCAATTTTTTGGTACAAAATATAGAAAAAACATTGGCACATTATGTAGTGATAAGTCATTTTTTTTTTACTTCCCATGTACTAGTTTCAAGTGTTCTGCATTCCAATTTTCATTTGAAAAAAGTAAGTACTGATTCAATTAATTCGGTCTGTGTATACCTCTTAAAAATGCAGATTGGAGTACAGAGAATTTGAAACGAAAATGAAGATATTTTGTTTACTGAGTTTCTAATATTTATACTACATAGAGAAGGGTTGGTTGGTAAGAGGAAGGAAGAAAAGAAAAAAGGAAAATCTCAAGTCTGACTTTATGTGGATCACAGAAAGTTGTGAAGAGTTGTATAAAAATATGCACTTGTGCTTTAGAAGCTTTTAGCATACAATTAATAGCTTAAAATAGTATTTACTGCTTCCCCATATGCCTATTTTCTGATATATTTACACATCTTGCAGTCTTTTTTTTTTTTTTAACATCATTAAAGCAAAATGGCATGATCTCAAATATAGATAGGTTAAAACATCTGAAACTCCCCCATCCCCTCCCCGATATATACGTATAGAGGGTAGATGGCACAACATACTCCATGGACTTATACCCAGAAAATTTAGATTGCTTTAATAAAAATTTTAAACAGCAAACGTATATAAATTTTATCTTTTTAAAAAAAGCTTGTCCAAGGGCATTCAGATTTAATGGCTTTTATATAATACTCACTATAGTGCCTCGTGACTGCCTCTATAAACCAGAAATAAGGGAAGCTCATGGATTCCCCCAAAACAAGATGTCCCTCCCTTCCCCATCATGGGTGGCTTTCTTTACGATGAATCCCTTTTACAGGAAAGAGGGCTACACAGGCTGCTCCCAGTCTAGAGAAGGCACTCACCAGGCCAAGGCTGTGTTTTAAATTGGGTGTCACACCATCCATCAGAAGAACCACCTAGCCATTGAGGTGAAGCTAACTAATTTATCAGTAATTTGGTCCCGGTTGTTTTGCTCATTTTGTATGATTTTTTTTCTTAGATATTCTTATGAATCCTTCAGACATACTCTTGAGGAAAATAGTCAAGTTAAACAGTGACGGTGACTTTTATGATAAGAGATGAGGTGAACACTAGCTAAGCTACTTGGTTGTCATCCAGAGAGATGAGCTCAGAGGCACCAAGTCTTGCCACTGTGTCCTGCTAGTTACAGTGAATCAGCTCCATGGTTTGGCGAGGGTACAGAGGATGACAGCAGGGCCAAGGATTGTGCCTTGTGTTTGTTCTGCCACTAAGTGATTGTTCAAAAGAACGTATATTTTTCTTCATGGAACATAACTTTCTAAAAATGAAATTTGGGGACTTGAATGATTCAAAGTCCATTGTTAAACATTAGCTCCTTAACCTATCCCTGCCATTCTGATGATGAAGGAAAGCCTCTTGTTGACACTACTGTGCTTCCTGGTGCCTCTGCAGATCAAGAGCTCCCCTTCTCTGTCTTGGCTTTAGCTGTCAGATGGAAGCCTCAGACTTTTGCACTTGAGGTCATCTAACGTCTTCCAGTGCTTGTAGTTATCGGCCAGATGTTGCATCAGGGCTGGCAGATGTGCAAAGGCTGCAAAGACATGAAAGAATCAAAGGAAGCCTGTTAAGTTAGGACCCCAGGAGCACTTACAAGCCTGGGGCTCTGTGGGACAAATTTGGGATCAGAACTGGAGGAGAGCTACCCTAGGTTAGGCCTTAGGCTGCAAGTGAACACACAGGCATGAGAAGGGTATGTCCCTAAATGCTAGTTTCTGAAATACAAACAGGTCTTTTTAATTAAAAATTGAAAAGCCTTTTATCAGTGGCATCTAAAAAGAATCTGTGATTCAGAGGAGACTTAATACATTTTGTGTTCTTTCTAGACTTTGTCAAGTTTCCTCCAATGAAAGAGTAAAACTGCTGTAAGCTTTGGAAACATGTCCTTTGCAGAGGCGAAGGCTTGTTTATCAAGTTACCAAACGTCCACTGAGTCTTCTGTACACAAGGTTCTGTGCCAGGCTCGGGGACGCAGAAAGTGCAGTGCACCCCCAACCATACCTGGCCGCAAAGAGCGAACTTTTAAAAAAAAATCACATTGCATTTACACCGTTAGGCCCAGCCTATGTCATTAAAAGTAATTATCATAAAGTATAACAAAATATTCTGCATGGGGGCCAAAACACGGACTGTCTTACCATCCCAGGCATCAAACATGTCTGTGATGAAGTAGTCAATAAAGGAGATCTGGGACTTGGGGATGCTGCAGGTGTTCCGGTCAAACACTGGCATCACCACGGGGAGCCCCTGTCTCTTCTCTTCATCAGTCTGTTAGAAATGACAACACAGGGCTGTAGGGCACACGAGGAGCTGTCACAGTGGCATCTAATTTCTCAGAACAACCCTGTGAAAACGGGTCATCATCCAAGTGGCTGTATGAAGAAGTGAGCTCGGCAGGGTCCTGAGCTTATGTAAGTCAACCAGCTGAGGAGCTGCAGCGACTCACTTCAGGTCTCTGGCTCTCAGGCCTCCTGTGCTGTACCAAGTCCCCCCTGAAGCAGGGCTCTCAGGGTTCACACGCCCTTTTCTGAGCTCGGTCTTCACTATTGCAAGGTCAGGACTATTTTCAAAGTAATGCTAATAACACTAACAGTACAAATTGACATTTACACTGAGGGTGCAGAAGCAACGGTGGGTAAAACTGCTGATGCCTAAGCATGAATCAAGGGACTGGCAGCAGACTACCAGCAGTCATTGTGTTCTTCACTGCCACAGGCTTGCAGTGTAAAAAGAAAGCCCGCTTCACTTAAGAATGTCCTCACTGAAGCAGTAAGATTAATCTTACTCAGTTTTGACTTTTTAATATTCTGTGTGACAAAATGGGAAGTACAAGTAAAGCCCTTGGCTGCACACCAAAGTGTGATGGTTGTCTTGTGGAAAGCACTGACGCGACAGCGCTGAACTAGCCTCTTGTTTCATGGAACACTATTTTTACTCGAAAGAATGACTGACAAACATGATTGTTCATCTTGGGGTACTGGTCATGCAGCTCTCTCAAGGTGTGTGTAAATCTGAGCAGGCTGCACAATGGAGTGAATGTTTATATGTATTAAATTATTAGGCCATAATTCACTGAGCTGCATATTAAGAGCCACATTTCCTGGTGGTGTGTTGAGTCAGAGGCCAGCTGATCAGAGGCCTCATTTGTAACTTTTTATTTTTTTATTTTTATATTTTTTTGTGAGGAAGACTGGCCCTGAGCTAACATCCGTGCCCATCTTCCTCTACTTTATATGGGACGCTGCCACAGCCTGGCTTGACAAGTGGTGTGTCGGTATGCGCCCAGGCTCCGAAGCTGCGAACCCTGGGCTGCCGCAGCAGAGGGCACAAACTTAACCGCTGCGCCACCGGGCTGGCCCCCGTAACTTCTGATTTTTAGGTCACATTGGCTGGTGAACATTAGTACATTCCTTTCTGGGAAAAGGACACCTAAATAGAGAACTTACATTAAAGAACCTGAAAGCGGTTCTTTCCCACTATTCCCCATTCTCATTGAGAGTGACTAGGAGCAGGATTTCAAGTCCTCTCTGGGTCCTGGGAAGCCCATTAATGGGCCTCCTACCAGCTTCTGCCTCACTTGCTCATTTCAGGCCAGTCGATCAGGCAGCCTTAAAATTTCCACTGTTGTTCAAGGAGTAGTTTGGGTTTTTTCCCCCTTTTTTCTGGAAAGCTCAGAACTCTCTGTCCTACTTTTCTTCAATTCAGGGGCTCTCTTCCCAGCCTTGAAAGACGCAGTTAACGTACCCAGTGCTCGGTCAGCCATTGCGCCGCCAGCCCTTCTAAACATCATCGGCTATTCTTTATCCTGCCTCAGTGGTACATTGCAGCCATATAACGCGCCCCCCCCCCCAAATGCATTACTTGTAGCTACTGTGTTTGTCTTTCTGTCACACACACACACACACACACACACACACACACACACACACAGCAGTCCTTAGAGCCTCCCCTCTGGAAATAGACCTGTATTTCACATGGTATCTTTTGGTCTACTACTTTCTGGATTTTTCTCCTTTAACTCCTCTTCACCCTGCCAAAGTGAACAACATATTGCTGCTCTCCTTATATAAAAATTCTATTTCCCCTCCTTACTAATTTTGCTCATAATGCTTTGTGCTCCCAGAAAGTCCTTTCCTATTTCCACATTTCTAAATCCTTCAAAAAAACAGCTCTAACATCCTTTTCAGAAAGCCCCTTTTTTATCTAGAAAAAAAAATCTTTCTGAACTCTCGTGGCACTTAACATATACCTCCTTTAGAGGTATTTTCATTTTTTACCAACGGGTGGACCTATGTCTACATCCCTCCCCTACTGTATGATGCTATCCATGGGCAGGGATGTGTCTTACTCACTTCTCTGTTCCCCACAGTGCACCACGGAGACGATAACCACCTAGTGAATGAATGGATGGTTTCCCAGTTTTTGTGGATGTTCCCAATCTAACACTTTGAGGATGAAAAGATACTTCCAAAGGCTCAGTTTATCCCCCTTCCCCTGGAGAGACTTGGTGACCAGCCACATCAGTCTCTTGAAGGAACCAGAACCCTACTCCACGCAGGGGTGAGCCATTTCCTTCCTGTTTTATTTACTAATTAATGAAGTTACTCAGCTGGAGAGGCCCCAGAGTTCCATGACCCAAGGCCATTCCCAGAAGAGAAGTGAGCTTCCCTCGGGAGGCAGCGCACCTGTGCAAAATACTCCTCAGAGATCCTCCCGGCCCATTCAATGCACAGGTCCAGGGGCCGGCAGGGGTTGGCCACGTCAGCACACTTGATCATCATGCGCTTGATCAGGATTTGGTTTTCAGGAAAGTTCTTCCCAGTAAGGTTGCATTCACAGTCGCTGCCCTCAATCTGGAAAACAGACTGTCAGCTCAGGGTTGGTTCAAGATGATGGTGAAGCCCACAAGGCTAACTGACCAGACACACCGTGATCACCCCGGCACACTTAGACATGACTGGGCCTCAGCGAAGGAGGTTTCCCCAACCTTATTCCATCTGTAATACACTGATAGAGTCTTGTAAGAAAAAAGAAAAAGAAAAGCCTCAAGCAATATAAAAACAGAGTTTAAAAGATCAAAGTCCCTATCACTACCCCTCCCCTCATTTCTACCCTCTTCCCCGGCACTAACTGCTGTAGCAGTTTTTGTTGTTTTGTTTCTAGTAATTTGGTATGTAATCTGAAAGGAGAGCTTTTCTCTCAGTTTTATCAGGAAATATGTAAAAACAGAACTTGCAGTTTTTTTGACATATTAAAGATGGGGAAATAACACATACCTGTGATCCTTCATTTATTTCCACTTACTATGCCTGCCAGCTCCCTCTCTCTGATGACCTGTCCTACCCCCACTCACCCGCCTTGTCCCACTTCGTTCCTTTCTCTTAAGGCATGTGTCCATCGTGCTTTCCTGGCTGCTCTTCTGACTAGGAGGTAGGGAGTGTGAACTATGTAAGTTTTCGGCGTACGAGGAGCAGAGAAGTGGGCCAGGGCAGGAGCAGGTGTGTTCAGCCATATTTAAAGCCTGGTCATACACTAGTACATACCTAGTGGTGGATGTCAGCGGTCCTGAGCCAAGTGGCCCAGTCTAGGAGTATGCTTACGTAAATGCGGCAACAGGCCAATTATATAAGATCTGGAAGATTGCTATTCTCTACCTGCAAAGACACCATCGAATTGATGTGTGGAAACAGTTATTTAGCTCTCTGGAGCTCTGCCACAGGCTGAAAGACTGTGTCACATTTAAAGGTTTTTGTTTTGTTTTGAGACTGGACCTATTCATTAAACCATCAGTGGGCAGAATTATGTTCTGAAGGTGGTTGTTTCGATTACATCCCATTGGGAAGAGACTGCGTACTATAGATACTGCAGTAAATAAGAAATCTCAGCACAGAGCTGTGGACTTAGTTGGGTAGACGACCTTCCCAACTCCAGATTCTGTGATTCGGTATAACTTTTCCCTCCTGTATCCCCAGATCCTTGCTCCCATATGTCCTCTGTGGAGGGAGAGGGCCCTGGCAGTGTGCTGTGGAACCCCTGGGGGATGGAGCAGCACACAGGTGAGGTGGATACTGTCCCTCCATCCAGGCTGGTCATATGGTGGGTCCTACACAGATGGTCTCCTTACTGATGGTCAGGTTACTCTTAAGACAACCATTCCTCATCCATCCACATATGCAACCTCTTCTGCTCAACAGGAATGAGCAAAAAGCTTTTCTGACTTTACAGGACTATGAACAGCTTCATGGTTTAAGAGGGCAGTTGATCTCATTTTAAACAACAGGATGTGAACCTTCTGTCCATGTTCCTAAAACCCCAGTTCGTACGGATCTTAAGGCAGGTCCAAGGTTTATCAGTAAATTTTAAAAACGAAAAACGACTTATGCTTTTGTTTTCAACCAGTCACTCCAATTTGGTTATATATAGTCTTTAGGTACTGATAGGCTTTTAATGCAAGTCAGCAGAAATATAGATCTGTAAGACATCCAGGAGCTCAAAGGGCTCTAGATCCCCTAAAATACCATCATCTATGCCAGTCTGTTATCTGCAGGCTCCTTCCATTCTAGTCTTTGGCCCACCTTCTTTTGTCACCATTGGCTTTATCTCAGCGCCTTTTTTTCAAGGAGCTCAGAGTTGCTGTGGACACTGTCAATCTATTCTCGTCCCCAATGAAAACAAGTGGCCAGTACTTTCAGCCCTTCTTTCCAACTCCAAGCAAATAACCACCTTGCATTCAAGAGGGAGAGAAAATGCTTTGAGGCCAGAGTAGGCTCTAATGGAAATATACTCTGATGCATCCTATGACACGGGACATGCTTACCTCAGCTGCCATTGGCTTGTTGATGCTGTTCACAAATTTGTTCACATGTTCAAAGTGTTTTGTCATTTCCGTTGCTAAAACCATGTCGATAATAGCCTGGCGCAGTGTTCGATAATGGTTCCTAAAATGAGCGGAAGACAAAGGGCCTTGTTCATATGTCCCGAATTAGAACTGTTCTGCTACCATTTCACCACACTTCCCACAATCTAGGAGGAAGCTGGGGGCGTGAGTTAAGAAATGAGTGCAGATCACAAACAAGTTTACCTCCTCATCTTCCCACCAAGCCAGGACCTGTTGACACTATTCCATCTTCCCCAGTGATAGCTGACCCTTCCTCATACACTTTATGAGTATATAAAAAACAAGACAGTCCCTGTCACGTGGTGGGCACTTATTTTACAGGGTGATTCCCTTCTACCTTCCCTTGGCAACATCAAAACAGTGAGGTGGAAGGAAATGCCTTCCCTACAGGCTGGAACAGCAGCAACCTGATGAACTGGCCCAATGTATTCAGTGCAGGTGGTGATTCTTATTACAGAGGATTGTCATGATTTCTTTTGATGATGGCTGGGAAGAACGTTTGCCCAGTAATACGTTATTCTCTAAATCACACTTAGATAGAAGCTGTAACAGACGGAGCAACAACCCAGCCTAAAATTACTCTCCACCCCCTATCCTCTCATTCTAACTTCATGAGCCAGAGTGGGAGCTGAATAAAATTGGCTATTGGAAAGAATTCTTTTTGTGAAAAATTTAAAAACAATCCTTGATCCTGATGAAACTTCACCTGAAGGTAGAATAACTGGTCTCTATGTTTCAGATTTCTGGAGATCAAACTGATAGGTTCACGTGGACGAGTGGCCCTTGTATGCTCTCCGTACACTGCCCTCTCCCAGGAGTCTGCTCTCCTGCCTGGCTGGTGCTATGTGGGGAAACCCACAGCCTGGCTGCAGGGCTGGGGCAGGCCAGAGGAGCTGCTCCTGTCTGTTCACATGTGGCCAGCTCTCCCCAGAAGGGAGCACACCAGCTAGAGGGAAACCAGCAGCTCTGCTGGGACCTGGCGAACACCGGCTCCTGATGAGTTAGGATTTTAAGTAGCCAAAAATTGAGCTGGGGAAAGATGGGGAAGGATGTTTTTTCCTTGAGTTGCACAAAAGTCAGGGTGTTCTCTTGGGAGGTTAAAAATATGTGCTATACTTACTAGTAATACGATCAATACTTATAGAGTGCTTTGTAGTGTATAAAACATTTTCATGAACGCATTGAAGACCAAATGAGATTTAAAAAGATGAAATCAGTCTGAAAAGTACAATTAAGTTTATAAGAGCAAGGTTATTTTGCTGTCTGATACAGTGGTACAACTATTGTCGTTCCCCTCCCCTCTCCCCTAAGAGGAAGCTAAGTACTTGGAGAAGTTAGGGAAAACGAGGCTTCCCACTTATACTCCACAAACCTGAGCACAGAGGCCCAAGCACGACGCACCTGTCAATATTCTTGAAAATGTTGCATTTGCTGTCCTTGACCGTGAGCTGGAAGGCCAGGGCTGTGTGGTGACTCTCCAAGACAGCGGTGTCATTATAGAGCACGGCAAGTTCACTGCCTGCGTTGCACAGGAAAGAGTTGGTCCTCCCCGGGTGATCCACGTCGTGGACTGCGGCCGCAATCAGTGCTGCCACCTCGTCCAGCTGATCGAGGCTTCCCTGGGGTCGGGGGGAGGCAAGGTTGAGCATTACCCACTAGACGGAGGAGACCTACACTCATCCTTGTCTCCCGGGAGGGGACAGGCCAGGGGAGGTGAGATTATCAGAACGTTCTCTCAGCCCGCTGAGCCTTCTCTGACTTCCTGGAAGTTGAGAGGCTGCCTAGGACACGTGGCATCCCCTTGCTGTGCTGTGGATTATCTGGAGGGAAACAGAAATCTGAGCTGCAGTTATATGCATACCTAAATTCTTTACCCAGAGTCCATTCACTCCAGTTCTGCAGGAAGAAGGCAAACAGGCCTTTCCAGATGCCTGCCACGTGGTAGTGCCATAACTCTCTTCTAAGAGGGGCCGAGCAGAAAGTGGCCTATGATCACAAATATTACCTATTTGCCTACTTCTGAAAAGATTTTGAGTGAGTGGCCGTAAATGGCAGAGATGCAACAAAACTATTCACACAAAGGTAAAAGGATTAGAGCCGAGCAGTACAACAGGATCAAGGGCGAGAAGAAGAGTTTTCCAGGAAAACCGAGGCTAAGATAGGGCTCTTGCAGTTAAGAACAAAATTCAGCTCTGGGCTAGCAGGTGGCAAAGGCAAAAAAGGAACCAGTCTTTCTAAAGCTCTCAGTGTATGATTAAAGAGCACAAACCAGGGCAGCGGGTCCAATGCTGTCTCGGCTCACAGCCTTAGGAGGGAGTTATCAGTGGGCTTCTATGTAAGAGACACCGTGCCCTGTGACTTCATCCATTCGGTAATCATTTATGGGATGTTCACTGGGTGCCAGCCGGAGCTACAGTGATGAATTCACTGGCACAGTCTCTGCACTAATGGAGTGGATAATTCACTGGTGAAGGCACAAAGAAGTAAAACACACACACAAAAGTAACTTACTGTGTGCTGTGCTACGAAGGGCGGCACGGCCGTTTTGAGAGTGTAACCAGGGACCTGAGCTGGTTTAGGGCAGTGCTGTCCATTCGACCTTCTGTGGTGATGGAAGTGTTTATACCCAATGCTGTCCAGTACAGTAACCCCTCGGCACCTGTAGCTACTGGACACTTGAAATGTGGCCAGTGCAACTGAGGAACTTTTTCATTTAATTTTAGTTAAGTGTGAACAGCCACAGGTGGCTAATGGCTACTGTATTGGAAAAGACAGTCCAGAGGGTGGCAGGGACGGCTTTCTCTAAGGAAGTGATTTTTATGCCGAAGCCTGAAGGATAAGCAGGAATTAGCCTGGCAAAAAGTGCCAAGGGAGAGAATTCCAGGCCGAAAGAACAGCCTGTATGATGCTCCCGAGGTGAAACAAACAAAAAAGTGGTTTGTTCAGGAAACTTAAAGAGCACCGCTGTGGCTGAAGGCTAGTGAGTGAGGGGAAAAGTGGCCCCAAGAAGAGGCTGGAGGTGTTCCCGAGTTGCTCTCACAGGCGGTGGGAGGAAAGACTGCAACCTGCTGCTCAGACGCTAACAGGGAGGGAGCAGCGAGTGTGAAGCTCAGCCCTGGACCTGCCCCACCCGGAGGGGGCCATTGCCACTTCCAGTCCTGACCTCCCGGACCTGGTGGCAATCCCCGCGTGGCCCCAGTCCACACGAACAGGTTTCCCGAGCAGGGACAGCGGGCGATGCTTTTCTTTCTAACTCTTCTCAGAGACTGGTCTGTAATCCCAGGGCAAGCACACACGCCTGGCCCCGTTGTGCTGCTGGTCAGGAAAGGCCATGTAACCCACAGGTGCCGTCAGGACCCAGAGCTCTCACTGGATCTACCTGTGAGGGAGGACCCAGGGGCCCAGACTCTGGGCCTCCAGCCAGGGCCCCTGGACTATGCTCAATCTTGCTTGGAGTCTGGGGCCAATTGATTTTTTTTTTTCCCCAGATTGTGTACCAATTTTATTTGTATCAATTAGTACATGAAAATGCAGACAATGTAAAATGTTAAGATATATCTGAGTGTCACTTTCAGATAACATATTCATTTTTTTTATTGATGTTTTAATAGTTTTTAACATTGTAAAATTTTGGGTTGTACATTTTTGTTTGTCCATCACCATATATATGACTCCCTTCACCCCTTGTGCCCCACCCCCCACCCCCATTGTGGGGCCAGTTGATTTTTACGTTTGTCAATTAAGTGGATTCAAGTAACTGGAGTAGACAACACAACTAGCACTAGATGAGGGCCTTTCCCTCCAGCCTACACTGATTTACAACTGGCACTTTCACACAGGAACCAGTCATGGCGTGCACTGCACTTTGGGTGGGCACAGTCTAATAAGGCAACGTCTGACAACAAGTGGGAGGAGGCAGGGAAGGAAGACGGGGCCACTCACTAGCAGGTGGGAGAAGCAAGGCCCTTCCTATGGGAGGGAGAGACTGTCTGTGGAAGAAAACTTCCCACCAAACCCACCACGGGAGAAATTCCAAACCCACCACAGGAGAAATTCCAAACCCTTGGAGGTGCAGACACTGCTGCATAGTTTTTTCCTTCCCTTCCTACTCCTGCAGGAGTAGATTTGGATCACACTGAGGCAGACTGGCCAGCACAGACTCCATTCTAGAACAGTTCGTTATCTAGGATAAACAGTCACTTACACCAGAGAATAATAAAAGAATGCCAGCTGTCCTGACCTCTCTACTTGCGGTGGTTCCTGGGAACCAGTAAGATGGGGGAGGACAGGCTCTGTAACAGATGAAGGGGATGTCAGCTCTGGGCATGTGTCCATGTGGCTGGGTTGAGAATACAGAGCTACAGCATAGTGACATTGAGAATTTTAGCCTCATCGCACAAAGAATTAGGGGTGACAGATAATGTGGATATTTGGTAAAAACCCATTTTCCTGACTCTCTTCATCAGGGGCAGCAGGACTGGGGGAAGAGGCCTCTGGAGGAAATCCCACCTGAAGCGCCCCATGGTAGACTAACCGTGATCTTGGGCTCTGGGCTCAGGAGCCCCGCCAGCCCAATTCTTCAAGGTTCCTTGGAGTCTAAATTTTCTGATTCTCTCGCAGGGGCTGCCAGAGTTAGAAAATGTCTTTTGAACTGTAAGCATGTTATGTCTAGTCTTAGACTTGTTTTTATTGCTGCTATTTGAGAAATTCAATCAGATGCTGAATGCGCTAGCAGAACTCACAATTTAAAGAAAAATCCTTATTTTAGGGGAGAGAGAGAAAGGGAGATAATAAAGTGAGTAAGCATTCTCTAATTTATCAAGCATTTAATCTGTATTTTTCTAGAGTGGCTCTGCATAAGTGAGGATCATCTCTAACTCAAGAATGCAGCCTGTAGACCACTTCAGTCTTGGTGTTAATGCCCTGGGTCCTGTCCTCAACTGGCAGTGTGCAACCTCAGCTGTCTAATATCTGATGCAGGGAAAATGGAGGAACGTGAGCCTGGAGGAGGGATCTGGAAGTGTCTTAGTGCCTCAAAGACAGGCGCTATAGAAACAGGCTGATAGCATCCTTTTTAAAAGTAGGAGACAAAACTCTTCAAGAGCATCATTCTTGGACCACATTCTTTGCTTTCTTGCTGATGAAAGTGAATACCAAGATCTGTCTTCGGCAAAACTGAGAAGGAAACATTCCCCTTCCCCATTTTCGTGCCATTTCTGCTCCTTCTACCTGTCCCACTACCACCCCTTGCCTTAAATACCCACGGTCTTGAGATTAAGAAAACGATCTAATGTCAGGCATTTGCAGATTGACGTGAATCAGTCTCTATACAGCACTTCTCCCAGGGGTCTCGATATTCTAAGCTTTAGTTCTAACTGCAGCAAAGGAATTGCAAGCTTCATTGTGTAAGTGATGGTGGCTAGGAAACGGGAGATGGGGATCTCTTACTAGCTGCATATGGGGTAGTACATAGGGCTGCCCTATAAGTCAGCTCCTGTACATGAGAGTATTGACTTCTAAGTAAGACTAAGGGATATGACACTCTTTCAGAATCATGCAACAGTCATTAATAAACAGATACACACACCTACACAAAACACACATATATATGTGTGTAAATCAGTAGAGTGCTGAATGGCTCAGTAGTATCTGGATTATAATATACCATTGACCAAATCCTGATCCTAAAACTTAACCTTTAGACCTAGTAACCATTTGCTGTGATAGTTAAGTTCTGTCCTCTAACCCAGTATCACAAAGGGCTCCTACTGAACATTTGGAGAATGGGTTCATGGGTTAGCCGGGCACGTAAAGAAGTCTCTACAGTGGCATAAATTATTATTATAGGCATCTGGGGGAGGGGGGGGATAGGAGAAAAGGACATGTCTTTAAACACAAAAAATGATCAATTTGGCAGCCCAAAAAACTGTCAAATTGGTCACACAATAGCTGTTTGCCTAATATATTTATTAAGATTGAGTTCTTGGATCTCCAATCTAGGCAGGTAACTAGATCACGATATCACAATTCTACCTTCACTCTTTCCTTTCCAAGGAAGAAGGCAGTGGCGTGCAGGACATCGGCGGCATGGGTGGAGTTATGGTAAGCATTGGAGGAGTGGTAGTTGGCTTCAATCACTTGGAGCCACGCCCGAAGTGTAGTTTCAGAACAGTGTAAAAATTCACATACTCCAAACCGGGAAAAGACCTTTAAGCCCAGGTAAACCAATGGCCTGGAAAACAGGAAAACAAACCCTGATTCATTGTATTCACTCGTCCAAAAACTGCTTTCTTTGATGATACGGGGGAATGGAGGCATTTTTCTTCCAATTCTTACTTAGTCCACAGGCACAGGGTGTAAAAATATCTCCTCCCCAAATCAGGAGACAGAGCATCTTTTCCTCACCAGCCACTTCTTTACAACAAAGTGCCTCATGGTGGTCAATCTAAATGATGTCTAGATTATCTCTAAGTCGTATGCCCTTCAGTGGCTCTAACAACCAAGAAGGATCCCCAGCTGTCCCTCTCCATCTCCACTTCCACAGAAGCTCGGCACTTCCTTTGTGTCTCCTGAGGAAGTTACTGAGCCTAAGGACAAAAGGACTGGCTTGTATGGTCTCAGCAGTCATATCACTTAAGAGTCATGTGATTTATTTATATGTGAAAATCATTCATATCCTGTAGACCAACACCCCTGGAAGTTCTCCTACTATAGAAGAGGACTCTCTCGAGTTATCTAACCTTTCCCCTGCCTACAGGATGGATCAAAAGAAAAGTCAAGAGTGCTCTCAAACTCATTTTGTAAGGTAGGGCTTCAACAAGTTTGGGGCTGAGAATACTTAGAACTCTTGGCTCATCAGCACAAATGCATGACCTGGGGAAATCTGAAAAGGACACTCAGTACTTCCTCATCCTGGGTCATCACCAGGCTGACCCCACATCCTACCCACTAATACTCCGTAAAGGAGCTCACTCAGGGGCCACAGTCTCTGCTGGTTCAACACTCCTCCAGCATGGCATGAGACGCAGGACCTGTGAGGTCTCTGGTGGCAGGGACTCACGTCTCCCTCAAAGTTTCCAGATGTGCAAGTCTTGAGCATGGGCATCAATCCTCCCCTGCCTGCAACCAGAGAAGCCACATACCTTTTATGTGTAACAGCTTCCAATTCAAAGATGTTGAACTCCCAGCTTTCCTCATTATCAAGTAATTGAGCAATACAAGGGGGGACATCGTTGATGGTTATTGGCATCGCAAGGTGACTGTGACTCTGGTGCACATCTGAGCAAACAGATTGGACAGGGAGGCTGGTTAATTGTGGAATCTTGCCTGCCCCTGAGCATTTGTCATCTTCATGGTTGTGACTAGAAAGAAAGTCTTGAACTTTCAAGGGTAGGAAGATTTTCACTTCAAGGTTGTTCTCTTACATTATTAAAATTCAAGACCCCCAAATAGAAAAATAATGGTTTAACTGTGTGTTTAAATGTACAGACATTTGCAATTGTTGTTCTGACAGTGCTCAGAGAAGTAATTTTAATTAGGAGACCTGGTTTCAAATGTAGACCATAGAGATGCTTCAACTCCAATGAGACCAACAAGAAGGAACAGCAAAGCCATCCCCAAACAATAATCACAACACTGGGGGAAGGCACAGGCTGGAGACAGGTCATCAGTAACAGGTGGACAGAAGACAACTTACTCTTAGTGAACACATACTCGTTTCCTGACAGCCTTCTCAAGCCATCCTGGAATACAGAAAGATGCTATTAGAAGCATGTTTTATATTCCATTATCATTATTCTCTCATTTCTTTCATTAGCCAAAGAGATTTGAATCCTGAATAACCCAGTCAGTCTGGAACTCCAAGCTGAAGCTCAATATTAAATCAGAACAATAGCTACAAGATAGAGGTTACTCTCCCTTCCTTGGCTGTTAGCCCCAGGAGATGGAGAACCGAGAATAAAATGGATATGACTGCCTCCAGGTCTCACACCTGAGCTGTGAGTTGGCTCTGGTCTCATGCTGTCTCTCTCTTCTGGCATTTTGAAGACACAGTGGTGACATCACAGAAGCGATGTTGCTTTGGATGCATGTTATTTTGAAGGGACCCCACTTACCCTCATAGTGACTGTGTTATTCTTGTGTTCGCAGATTTACATATTGGGGAGCCAGAGCCATGCCATGGGCCACATTTTGGGGATGACTTGATGTGAAGCCTTAAGATGGTCGGGCTAACTTTTGATTAATATCTAAATTAATTTTTACCAATTTTCTGTTTTGCAACATGCGCACTGCTGCTAGCCTTTAAAAGAAAAGTTTCTGGATTTGAGGTCTTTGGGGGGCAGCCTAGGGAGTGAGCAGAATTTCAGTGTTGTGTCACTTACTGGGCTCTTGACCTTCTGAACTAGTCCCCAGGTGTTCTTGCATCTCAGTTTCCTTCCCTCTACCTTCTACCCCTGAGTACCTAATTATTTAGATCTTTGCTTAAAAGTCATTTACAACTGCTCATTTGTCATCCCTAGAAAGTGTGTGCTAAGGTTTGAAGTCTTAATGAAGGGCTTCCCCGAAGTCACATCTTGGATCTTCAGGCCAAGAGCTTAATTTCTAGAGTTGGATAAATAAATAGGTAACAGTGGCCACAACTGTCCTGCCTCTAAGGCTCATATCAGAAGGGACTCCTCTTTTTTCTTTGCCTTTCTTTCTCCTCTTCCCGAAAGCTACACAGAAACGGGGGGAATCCTGCCCAGGTTCCTCCCAGCGGGACCTGGAGAGGAACCCGAGCTGGTATGGTGGCAGGGAAGGAGGGTGACACTTGTTCCAGGAATCAGAGTCCTCTCTCTGGAGGCCGCCCTCCCGACAGACCCTGAAGTCCACCCTGCCCTGGGATGGGGCAACCAAGGCTAGCCCAGGGGCGGGAAGGGAACAGGAGGTCTCTCCAACTGCAGGCTCATCAGAGACCTTTAGCAGGAACAAGGAGAACAGACCAACAAGCCAGTCAAAGACTTGGCATTTGGTGGCAGGGCCAGACAGAAACCTTCAAAGTAAAACTCCTAGATGACACTTGGACTTTGTTTTTCTCCCAAAGAATTCTTTCAGCTTCAGCCTCTGATAAGGAGCACAAGTGAATAATTTGAATTTTCTTTTTCTTCACTTGCTGAGAGATGATGATTACAGCCAAATAGATCACAGCAAAACACTGGAACAGGACGAGTCCTTAGAAATCAGCTACTCTCGGTGGTTGCAAATGGTGGTGTTGGGGTGCTGGCTCCTCCTCCACTCCTCCTTCTGAGCCAGAACAGCTCCCCTCTGCTTTTATCTGATTATAAAGGGAACTTCCATATAAGCTTTTATTTAAAAAAAGGATTCTACAGCTAAGATTTTGGAAACCAGTGCTGCAGTCTAAGTACAAACTCTTTCACTATATAGATAAAGAGCCTGAGGTCCCAGCCGTAGCTTAAGGAAACCTAGCTGTAACCCTCAACCCAGTATTGGACCAGGTCTGGAGGAAGGAGTAAGCAAGGCCCCATCGTGCATATTCAGCCCTCAATCAGCTGCCTGTTTACTCCTCACTGTAACACGGACTCTGAAGGACTGCCTCCCATTGCTGTGGTCAGTCAGCCTTGTGGAAAGATAAATGCAAGAATTCTTTGACTAATACCACACATATAATACATAAGTTTTGATGCAGATGCTTCTGTTTATGCTGATGTTAGCCCACACAACAGGTATTTCTGCAGCTAGGTAGCAGTTCCCATGTCACACGTCATATGTACTTGGGAGTGCATTTAATGTCGTCTCCCCTGCGTTTCCCGTTTTTCCTCATCACTCACAGTCATCAGGCCTCCAACGAGATCACTGGTGTGAGGATCTTCATCTTTGGTACCCAGCTGAGGGGAGTACAGTTCTGTGGTCCGTAAAATTTCTAAAACTCTGTCTAGGGCTTCTGCTACTGTGACGGGGCTGTTTTCTTGGGCTGCATTGATTATATTTATAACCTAAGGAAGTAAAGAAAGAGAGAAAGAATAACTTTGAGGACATCAGGAGTCTAATTCCCAAAAGTAATACATACGCCCGGAACCCAAAAGAAATCTGATGATGACACATCTCAGTGTTGAACATCACCAGCGCTTTGGCAGCACCACCCCTGCTTCCTGCAGCCCGCCTGTCAGCCCACCCTCTGCTGACACTTCTCCTACCTCAGTGACTACATCTTTTTCAGGCTCCTTTGCCCATCTTCTCCCTCTCACTGTCTTCTGCAGGTTGGAGTTGCTCCGAGATTGGTGCTGGACCTTTCTCTCACTCTACAATCCTTCCCGAGGTGAGCTCTTTTATTTCCTAGACTTTGGACACATACGATCTGTATGCCAAGGACTCGCACATTTACATTCCAGCCCTGACCTCCTTCTTGACCTGCAGACTCATATATCCATGGCCCACCTGACACACCGATTGGAAATCCTACTCACACGCCCCGACTCATGATCCTGCTCCCCTCCCCTAAAGCAAGCAAGTAAACAAACATAACAACAAACAAGAGACAAGAGCTGTGCTCCTTCTCTGGTTTCTGCACCGCAGTGAAAAAACCACTTCTACCCATCCTGTGTTCAAACCAAAAACCTGGGAGGCCCTGGTGGACATACCAGTTTCCTGCATTTCTCTTCCCCCCCGACCATATAATTCATCACCAAGCCAAACTGATTCTACCCCTAAATATTTCTTGATCTGTTCATTTCTCTCCACCCTCACGGCTACAATTCTAGAACAGCTAACACCATTTCTTGCCTGGAATTCCAGAAAAACCCCCTAACTGGCCTCTTCTCTTTCACTCTTGCCATCCCCAATCCATTCTCTGCATGGCGGCTGGGTGTTCTTTTCAATAAGCATACTTGGTCATGTCACTCTTTAAACTCTTCACTGCAGATAAACTATAAGATACACTCCTTATTACAGCCCAACTGGGCAGAATGAACCGGCACAACTCCACGTCCCTATCTTCGCCCCTCTGCTCTCCAAGCTCCAGCCACGCTGACTTGATTTCAGGTCGTCCAGTCCCCCTTTCCCACCTCACTGCTTAATCCTTTGCTCTGCCTGCTGCCTAGCTCTTCTCCCCCCAGCATCTTTGCAGGCTCAGGTCTTACTTCAAACACTACCTCCCCCACAGAGAGAGACCCTCCCTGACCGCCCCTCTGACCCAACGAAAATACAGCTCGAATCTAATTTTCTCTCATAGAACCCTGTTTTCCTTTACGACAGTTATTGTAATTTATAACTACCTATTTATTATGTGTTTACTTGTTTCATGTCTGTTTCTTCTACTAGACTGTAAACTCCTTGATATCAGTGGTATGTCGTTCATCACTTTATTTCCAGAACATAGCCCAGTGCTGGGTGGCCCTGATTGCAGAGTGGAGGCAGCAGCTGCCACTCACCTTTGTGATGGGAGCCTCGATGGTCATGGAATGGATCCTTGCCATGGACGGATAGCGACGATTCTGTAGGCTTGGTGCTGGAGAGAAAAGTCAAGAAAGTTGTATCTGGTTCTGGTGGCTCTGCTTGCCTAAGTGCAGCAAAAGAGCCTTTCATGCACGGGGGGCCTGATTCTCACAGGACTATGATCCCCCACAAAGCAATGAATTCACCCATCTCTTCATCCTAAAAGGCTGAGAGCTCAGCCACTACTTGCCAGAGTTTGGAAAGGGTGGTCTGGCCTGGAACTTTGATGGCAGGAAGGCTTCACGAGTCCTAGGTCCACAAGGGGAATTTCAGAGAAGGTTGATGGGATCCTGAGGCCCCATCCCAACAGCCTAGTGATCCCCTAGGACTCGCTTCCCCATAAGCCACTAAAGCCCAGCTTGGGCAGTTCCATCACCTTTAGTCCTCAGCTGTTGGCCATGTGACTGGAAAACTGCAGTACAGGAGGGGAGGCATGGACTGTGGTTGGGGGCGGGGTGGGCAGAAAAAAGAGTCTACTCTCAGTATGCTTTAGGGCCAGGCCCTCCATCTCAACACTGAGAACCCATGGTGCTTTGAGCTCTAATCTACAGACACTTTCATTTTAAAATAATTTTCATTTTTTTTGAACAGGTAATGCTTATACGTGCTTCAAAATTCAAAAGGTAGAAGCTTTACTTTATATGCACTGTTATCAGCTCTTCCTACCACTCCCTTGAGGCAGGCAGGAGGGACAGGATCTGCATGTTGTAGATGGGACAGCTCAATCTAGCTAACGTCAACAGAGCCTGCCTGCTGTCTCTGTGGTCCTCTCTGCTGCACGCGCAGCCGCCATTGCAGACCTCTTCTGTACTCTTCAACCTCCTCTGCTCCCATGCTCTGGAGAGATGATGATCCCATCTCAAACTCTGCTCTGAAAACTGAGTTAATCCAGTTGAAATCCCTTCATCCATTTTCCTCTCCATCTGAAATGCTCTGTCTATCTACACCCTCAATCCATCTGAAAATATTTCAGTCCATCTTCCTTCTTTACATTCTTGGTCCCAATCCCTTGCTGGCCCTGTGACCTTATCCATCTTCCTCTGTGAATTATCCATTTTATCTCTATTGTCTTCGGTCCTTGCTAGTTCAACCACTTCCCTCATACTCAGGTTTCCAATTGTGACCTTCCTGTTAATTCCCTTAAGTCATCACCCCACTTCTCTCCTATCACAGTCACTAACCATCCCCTCCACATGCCCCTAGAATCTGTCCTCCCATTTGCCAAATAAAAACTAAATGAATGAGTGAAATCCACTCGTCTGTTCTCAGCTCTTAAGCTCTCTGCATTTAACACTGCTGGTCGTCTCCTTTCTCTTGCACCCTCTTGTTCTTGGTTCCCGGGACACTGTACTCACAGAGTTCACCCCCAGCTCCTCTGTCCTCTTCATTGGCCCTGTTTCTGCTGCCTCCCCACTCACTGAGCGTATGCCTTCAAGCCTTGGACTTAGACCCTCTGTTCGTTTATTACACACACACACCCTTAGAGAGGTTCCTCTGTTTATGGCTTCATCTGGCACCTCTAGGACTCACAAATCCACATCTACAGCCCTGAGACCAGTCTTGCATTTTGGCCTCCTTGGCATCTCCACTAAAATAAAATGTATCATCTTCTCCTCAACCCCCCACCTAGCCATACGTGGAGCATTCCCTATTTCTGTATTATATCTTCCCATGTACCTAGGAATGAAATTTCAGAACTGTCTCTGTCTTTCCCACCTCCCTGCAAATCCAATTGATTACTTAGGCCATATTAATTGAACTCAAAATGTTTTGCTAAATTCTGTCCCACAGTTAATCTGTAACATTTTATGAAGGGAAAGTAAGAGTGTGTAACAAGTACAAGGAAGACTAGGTTTGTACTGCGGAAGGGAAGCCAGGACTGGTCCCCTCTCTGCCACTAGCACCCCAGAGTGACCCAGCTCAGAAACTCTGAGCTGCTCTGGTGGTGATGTGGCCCAACACACTTTAGGCCTTCAAGAAACAAGCATGAAGTCATTTCAAAGAGAAGGCAAAGACCATAAAAAGTAAAAAAGAATAAAAAAGCCTAAAAAATTTTCAGCCTATGGGTAAAAAGCTAGTTTAGTTGAAATCCTACTTCTTGGGGTTTTGTTTATATGCTGACAAATTCTTGAATATATTCCTCTGTCATTTTCTACACTTTAAAAAGATCAAAGAAATCTGAGAAACTTCTTACCATCACTGCCTCGCGATGATATCGACTTCACATCAATGGACTCTTTCCTCCTGTTCTTGTATCTGAATGAATGAGGCTCTGAGGATTTCAGATTAGTAATGGAGCATGGTTAGTTATTCACAGGTGAAGTTTAGGCCATTTTTCCCCTCATTCTCCAAAGAAAACAAGGTTATTTTTTAAGCACTATAAAATATTTTTAAGAAATAGTAAACCACTTTCTCTTCAATTCATCCACACACACAGCATAATCAGTCATAGTCATTGTAAAATGATGCCCTTTTCTTGTGGTACCACATTACATCGCGGGCTTATTATCAAAGGTTATTTAGTTGCATTAAAAAATATCTTTTTGAAAATAAACATTAAAACTTGGGGGAAATTTTTTGGGGTCATTCTGACCTGAAGGACAATACATACAACTGAGTAGGGAATGCTCTTATGGGGATATTTGAGGAAATAAAATACTATTGAAATCCACAGAGAGTTGAATCTATCTGAGAAACTAATTTGGATGGATTTTAGGCCCCTCTGAAAAGCCAGACCTCTAGATGGTCTTCTAGGTTCTCGTGAGGATGATTTCATCAAATGATGCACACTGTTGATCCCGGGAAGGAAGAGAAAAAAAACCAGTTTTAAAATTCCAACAATTTCCAAAAACTAAACTCTCACGTTTGCCCCCATTTTCTGAGGGAAAAAAGCACTTGAAAAGTTCTGCTTAAATCTTCGCAGACTTTGAATTTAACACTCACAATGTGCTGTCACATTAATGCATGATCCAGGCAGACAGTGCATGCCACCAGTGAGGACCAAGGATCAAGCATCAGGGCAGCAGAGCTGGCTTCAGAAGCACACATTTTCAGGGCTTCTGCTTCCTGTGGGGAGCAGCCCATGAGCAAGGAGAGAAACTTAACCACAACGCAGAGTTGCTCCTTACTGTGTCAAGACAGGAGGCGGACATGCAGGGAGAATGCAGTTCTCAGACACCAATAAATGATCATATTCCAAGAAAAAAAGGATGCAATAATACTTCAAGAATTGTCTTGTGACACCAGAAAAGGTGCAAGAGAATGTAGTAGTTAAGAGAGCCAGCTCCAGAGCCAAATTGCCAAAATCCAAACCTCCACTACACCATCTAGTGAAACCTTGGGAATGCTACTTCTGTGTCTCAGTGTCCACATCTGTACAGTGGGTATAGTTACAGCATCTCATTCACGGGCTGTTGTGAGATGTAAGCGAGTTAATCCATGGGTAGCACTTAGCACAGTGCCTGGTACGTAGTGAATATGCAGTTCATGCTGGCTATTGTTGTTAATGACATCTGTTCATTTGCATGTCTACCTTCTGTTTAGGCACACATGAGATCATGTTATAATCTTGTTCTATTACTTGTTGTTTTCACTTCATGATATGTCTTAGATACTTTTCTAGATCACCTTTTTAACCATTTACTTTAGTGCCCTAAAAAATCTGATTCAATTTAAAAAAAGGTTAAATCAATAACTAAACCTCAATTATATTCATACAGCATGAAGTGAAAGGCTGAACTACTATAAAGTTAATCTGAGCACCACAGCCACAGAGCTTTGTCTTAAATGATCTGACTTAATCTATTTATATCCCTTTGCTTGATTTTGTCTTCCAGACTGCCCTTGGATACACGTCTCCGTATTTCTTTATAAAGACACCTACAGGTGGAGGCACTTCAAATGCTGTTGTTAGGATCACATGGCATCTTTCAAACCTGAGAAACAAATAGTGGTCACTTGCAAGACGCTCCTTCTGGCCTATTCAGGGACTTAATAATCATATACATTACTAACATTTGTTTACCAGATAATGAATTAAATCTAACTTATTAAAGACTTAAGATTAAATTCAAGATTAAAGAACACAAGAATTCCTCAAAATGTAGTTTCTAAACAAAACTAAAGTAGGGAGGTTAGTTTCACGGCTGTGGCCCAGGCTGGCTGCTGAATTCTAAATGATTCATTAGAAATTATTCAAAGATGGGTAATGCTTATTCTTTCTGATTTTATATCAGCTAAAATTAAGAAAATCTATAGCAATAGAAATGATTAAAAGTTTGGATAAATTATTCCTCAATAAAGGCCATTTAAATCAAAGAATTCATTATTCATTGTCTCAACAGATGCTTGCGGAGTGAATTTAAAAACCAGAGAAAAGAAGGATAAAGGAGATTTACATAGTTGTACTCAATGGCAAAAAGGGATACAGTGTCACCAGTACGTCTCTGAGCACCTACTGTGCACCAGACATTGTGCTCTAATATTTACTTTACATATAGCAATTATCTTATGATCATTACAACAATTCTGAAACCTACATCGTGCAATCCCCATTTTACTGATGAGGAAATTTAAACTTGGAGAGATTATGTAGGTAGCTCAAGGTCAAAGAGCTCATCAGTGGTAGAACCTACGCTTTCCAAGATGGGATGGTTTCAATTTATTAATGTTCCGTGAGTATTTATTGAGCGTCTGTGATGGGCAAGGCAGTGCTGGGCGCTGTAAAGGATATGAAAATGCTTGTAACAGTTTTTGGCACCCAGAAACTCGAAAGTTAGTTAAAATGATACTCTTGCTCTAAGTATTACAAGAAATAAACTAAAACATCTGAGAAAGAGAGAGGGGTGGGGGGGAGGGGAGGAGGATACCAAACAGTTAATGCCGGGTACTGCTAGATATTATACGTACACTTTCTCCTTTGATCCTCATAACTACAACGAGATGGGTATTACTAATTCATTTTACAAATGAAGAAACTGAAGCTCAGAAAGAGCAAATGAAATCTTCCTGAGTAGGCTACAATATGGTCCAACCCAGAATCAAGGGGAGGGACTAAATAGGTGGCCCAGGGTCTGACTTTATGCATTACTGGCTGGGAAAGCCACCAACAGAGGAGAGACCAAGAATTTTACATCTTTGGTAGCAGACTGATTTTTCCCTGGAATGATCAGAGAATTCCAGACCTTTGAAACATAGAAGTCATCAGGTCAGCCCCCTTATTTTATGGCCAAGGGACAGACAGTCAGTCTTGCCCAAGGCATGAGGCGAGGGTGTGGGGAGGGGAAATGGTGACTCAGTGCTCCTGACTGCTGGGCCAGGGCCCATCCACCTTCTAACTGTATAGTCACCGGCTGCCACAAAGAAGGGAAGACTGACTACGGTCTAACAACGTGTTGTTGTTGTTGTTGGACTTGCATGCCATTTTCTATTTTGGGTTTATCACTCTACATGGTCTCCAGCTGGCAACAGAAAACCAGGATGGGGAAGGCATTCAGTAGTATGAAGATTCAAAACTTTGTAAGGGATTCTGCTTTGATTCTGGCTCTCCAGCCATCTGATATCAGCACTTGGATTTTAGCAATCCGAGTTCTGCGGTGGTGACTGTCCATCTAGACTTCTGCAGGGTAGTTCATGGATGTCAACCCACAGATGCCACCTGGGTCTAGAAGAGCAAAACTGAAGTATTCTCACCTGTCTGAGAATTGTCTCCTGAATCCCGATGAACCTTGTGAATCTAGAGTTGTTCAAAAGTTTGGTAAAACAAGAGAAAGAGATTTTAAATACAGTATTAGCTACATTTCCAGCCAAACAATTTCATTGAAAAGCTCTGAAGACTTCAAGAAAGCAAGAAGCTGCACAGATGACGTGAACAGATGAAAGATGTCCACCGAGTGATAATCCTAGAAATGCTCTATTACATCCAGTTGCTCAGAGAATGGCTGAGACCGAGAGCAGAAGACACCCAAGGGATGCACTTTCTAAGCAGGACATCGAAATCGCCAGTCAGCTGTTCTCATTTTGACAGTCTGCAGAAATGCACAAAGACTAAAAGCTATAACAAAATTTAAGGTTTTTATAAGGTTAATATATAACCTGTTTACAGTTCAGACACGTTATAAAATTTTTCTGTAATATAAAAGTAATCTGAATTCAAGCCTAGGATTTTTAAAAACCTTCCTAAAAAGCTCTTCGAATGCTCCTCAATTATAGACAGAGTGAATTTACAAATGTTTCTTCACACTAAGATCTAAACTTGAGATGCAGTTTAGCACCTAGTTCTTTCTCAGTATCAGATTTTTTTGTGCTAATGATTTTATGCTAATGCTTAATAAATATCTGCCAAATGAATGAAGTCATTAACACTAGAAATAATAAATATGCTTTCTTTGGGGCTCTGCATTTCTTGTGTTTATAACTAAGACACTGTTATTGGGCGCATCTTGCTCTATCACACGTGGAATCATGCTGCTTTGCCGCTCAATCCACCTAATTCCAGCAACTTGGACCATCAAACCTTCGTAGTCACTCAGTGAATGGGATACATTACCTCGAGAAACAAGACAGCGAGTGTGCAGGACTGTCTGTGAAGGAGAATTAGTATGGCTTAGCGACATCAGCTGTAAGAGCCGGAAGCCCATATATGTCAGATACAGGTTAAATGTTCCAGCTTGATTGAACCGTTGAAAAATAGTCATGTAAACCCAAGTGTTAAAATAGGGGTTTTCTATGAATTATTCTGCACAGTCCATTCCATAAAATTACAGAAACAATTACATGGCCAGCCTGTGTGTGATCCTGCTCTTAATGTGACTGACGGCTGTGACTCACTCATCTCATAATTATGGAACCTTTTTATTTCTTCTGTGAACAACTCTTTTATGTTTTTCTGTTACAGATAAAGACAATTTGCTACAAAGCTGCTGAGTGCAGTGTGAATTTTTGATACTATACAGCTTTTGCCTTGCAAATTTTTTTGCAATCAGCTTTAGCTCAAAAGCAAGTGATCTTTAAATACTTAGCTTTTCTCTCTGAGTCACAAAATCTCTCTCCTTTAGGAAGCAAGTCCCATGGCTCCCCAGATTACACATAAAAAAACCTTTTCTTGTCTTTTGTTAGCCCCCATAGGCCAGCTGACTGAACTGTGGAGCTCTGGGAGGCCAACGTGGGCTTTGTCTTCTGTCTGGATGGAACCAGATGAAGCCCAAGGTTGAGTCCATGCACAGTCCACCCCTGCCTTTGGGATGGGAATGTGCCCTGGCCTCCAAGGGAGAGAAGAGAGGTAAGGTCCATCTGCTGAAGTGGCTCTGGTCTTTCTTCACACAGGATGCTGCATTTGGAACTTTCTGAGCTGAACACACCACACCTCCCCCAGCCCACCGTCCCCTGAACTGGCTCATCTGCTTCTGATGGGCTCTCTCCTACGGACAGCAAGAGAGGCAGGAAATATCCCTTGACCACCACCGTCACTCGCTTCACAAGCAGAGGTTCTACGGGACTGTGTCAGCCTCTGCCACCCTGGACCCTATTTCTTGACTCACTTCATGATTTTCTGCAGCAAGAGCACACCTGAGGCCCTTTCTCCTGTCACACTCCAGCAGTGCTAGGTTTTCATTGAAGCTTCTTGACTTGGGTGACCTACGTGCCTCATCCAAGGCTTTTACAATGAAACATTCACTTGGATAAAAAAAGTCTTTGAGAACTAGAATTCTCTTCTTAGAGGTCTAAACCCACCAGTCATTTATAACTTGGTATGAACGATTCCACTAAAATTATTTCCTCATAATTCTCAGTTGAGCTCACTGAGGAAATACAGAGAATGAGTGGTTTTGTCATTGGATGGTCTCTGGTGGGCAGCAGGGGAGGTTCGTGGGCCAGAGGGGAGAGGGACCAGCTTCTCCCTGTGACAACAGGAGTCATCTTACATGTCTGCCCTGTGCGGGCAGCTTTACATTTGCAATCTAGTCATTACAACACCCTCGTGAGGGAGGAAGGATCGTCATTCCTTGTGACAGAAGCTGAGGTTTCGAGAGGACAAGGGACTTGCCTGAGCCGCCCAGCTAGTAGCCAGCAGAGCCCGATTTCAAACCCAGCTTCCTCTAGCTCTAAAACCATTTCCATTTTGGCCCATCGCTCTCGGCAGTGAGGCCCCCAGAAGGGAGGCCCCGGGCCCAGCCCCAGACCCCTGGTTAAACTGGGGTCTGAGGACAGTGTGCCCCAGGTCATTGCGGGACATCTGTCTGAAATATAATTTTCCTTGAAATTTGGGGGAAAGTTTGACTCTCTGCCATCAACAAGTTTTGTCACAGGCACGCTGAAGCAAAGCAATCATAATACAGTGTCCTCATGTCAGCAGATCTCTCCGGAGTGTAGTGCCTTTGTTTGTTTTTCTTTTGCGAAAGAAAGCTGAAAGTGTAGAACATGTCCACTGCAGCAGTGACTGGGAGCTCTGATACGTGTCCCCAGGGGACCACAGGCTTCAGCACTAAGTTTCTGCAACGTGAATACAGCCGGCCTTGGCTGTGCTGCTCTCGCCAGAGCTCACAGCTGGGATTTCTTAGCAGGTCCTTGGGAGATTACAGCTTATTTTTGGGGAAAAAAATTCATAATTTCAAACCTTCAATTACTTGCAATACATAGGCTCCCACAAATGTTGTTGCCTTTGTGCTAAATGCTTTGTTTACAAACACCTAATTATGCTTGGCTCTAAAAAGCACCGCAAAATCTGGGTGGGTGTGTGGGTGTGTGTGTGTGAGATTTCAGGGTCATTTGATTGTTTTCTCCTTAAAGAATAATCATTTAAAAATTATATTTTCTCTGTACATCCACCAGAACGTCTAAAACTGAAGAGAAATTTGGCCTGGGATGTGGAAAAGCTGGAACTCTCATACACTGCTGGAGGGAGCACCAAGTCGTACAACCACTACGAAAAGGGGTTTGGCAATTTCTTATAAAATTAAACCTACACCTACTCTATGATACAATTCCTCACTATTCAGTTCCACTGCTGAGTATTTACCCATGACAAACGAAAGCATACAGTCACAAAAAGACTTGTCTAAGAATATTCAGAGAAGCCAAAAGCTGAAAATAGTCCAGAAGTCCATCAACAAGAGAAATAAACTGTGGTAGATTGTGCAATGGAATACCACTCAGCAATAAAAAGGAAAAAGGAAAAAATTATGGATACATACAATGCGGCTGACTCTCAAAACACTATGATAAAGTGAAAGGAGCCAAACACAAAAGAGTGGACCCTATATGAAGCTCTAGAACAGGCAAAACCAATCTATGGTTAAATAATTCAGAACAGTGTTATCTCTGAGGTGGGAAGGATAGGAGTGGAGGCAGGGATAACTGGGAAGAGGCATAAGGGGAGTTTTGGGATGGTGAGGCTTGGTATCTGGTTGGGGCCTGGGATACAGAGGTGTACGCATTTGCCAAAACTCAAGGAATGTTATACTTAAGATTCATGTATTCACTGTATTTAACTTTTACCTTAAAAAAAGAAAAAACCCCAAAACAAATATTAACCTTTAGTTAATAATATGTATACTAAAGTACCAAGGGGTGAAATGTCCTGATGTTTGCAACTTAGTTTGAAATCTATCAAAGAATAAGATGGACTGATGGATGAATCAAGGGATAATAGATGGACAGATAGACGACCCATCAAAATGTTAACTGTAGAACCTACGTGGTGGGCACATGCATATTTACTTAAAATTCCTCTAACTCTTCTATATGTTTCCAAAATTTCATAATAAAATGTTGGGAAAATTATATGTTCAACTGAGAATATGGATTGATGGCTAAAACTCAGAAGTCTGAAATATAATTCCAAAATTGGTGAAAATAATCAAGATGAAGGAAATTGAGAAGAGCCTGGCATTGAGCGAGGTGAATGACATGTGATGGTCCCTAGGACTCCCTACCATGAGCCTGGGCATGAAGACGATGTTCCACTTCAAACCATAACAAAGGAATTGTAGGCAGCAGCTATCAGTCTTAGAAGTTTAAGATTTACCAAGGTAATGATTTAATACATTGATTTTAATGATTTTATTGATGGATTTTATGAATTATGGAGTTACAAATGAATCTAAATCCTGATCTCTCTTATGGGAGAAAAACTCTAAGAAATAACTATATAAAAACATCCCTCTTAATATTTATGTTAAAATCAAATTTTTTTAAAAAAATGAAAAATTATGAGACTTTGTAGCAGTTAAAATGAGTCAAGACCAGGATCAGTATAATAACAAGCAAACAAGCAAATAAACACTAGATACTGCCTTCAACATTCATTTCAGAATCACCTTGGGAACATGAATAGCATTTGGTAGACGTGTCTGCTTTTGTCATTACTGAATGACAAAGTCATAAAACGCATCAGTTACAATTGAAAGCACCCGATAGCCCGGTATGTGAGCCTAGGGGTCATGCTGGATGCTTCTTTCTTTTTCTCTCATCCCCATGTCTAGTCCATCATCAAATCCTGTGAAACCTCCCGTCTACACCCACTTCACTTCTCCCCATTGCTAGAGTGCAGGCTCCCATCAGCTCTCATCTGAACTCAGCAATAACCCCAACCCAATCCTTTCTCAACTCTTCAACAGGTGTAATCTTGCAAAACTATCCATTTAATCCTGTCATTCTCCTGCTTAAAACTCGCACCTCCCATTGGTGTTTGGGTCAGCCCCATGTGACAGCCTGGCTGTGAAGCTCTGCAACGTG